AAAACACTTGTTAGAGGAGATTTACTCACTAGTGTTCACACGCCCATTTGCATTTGCTTTCTTCTCTTACACATTCATTTAGAATTATTATCTTAACATGCTCTTTATATAGGAATAAATTCAGATTCCATCTTAAATGAAAAATATGGATACTGACGGTCTTACATTTTTCACAAATATTCATTAATTATAATAGTGGATTCTCCATAAATTAAGAAACATGTACCTTTAAACTTTCCACTTAATTTTATTTATTTAAATATTTTTCAACATTTTTCTGTCAAGTTTTCATGTAAACCACATGAGAGAATTTTACCTATTTTTCAATTTTACTCTCACCATTGTGTGGATCCAATAAAATCTTAATTCATCCGTCACTGCATATATAAAAGAGACATCATATTTTACTCAAAATCTGTAATAGATTTATAGTTTTTCTTTTATATATAGTTCATTCACTATTTTTATTCTATATGAGAGTTCTAACTATACATTTAAATTCCTCACACATATATAACTATTTAAGTTCATAACAATTTGCTTCTTAAGATTTACTGTGGTTAGTCTTAAAGGATGTTAGAATGATCGAACTCTAAAGACTTTTTTGGTTAACTGGATGATTGATTAGTGAGAAGTAATTTAGCTAACTATTACGAAATTTAAACTCATTTTGCAGTTTATTGGCGCTTCTGTGGAGCCAACAATGATGATAATTACAGAACTTTTGGAAGGTTGTTCGCTACATAAATACCTAGAGAGCATTTATCCAAATGCTCTTAGTTTAGAGCAATCCATAAGTTTTGCTTTGGATATTTCTCAAGCCATGGAGTATCTGCATGCAAATGGCATAATTCACCGCGATCTAAAACCTGGTAATTATTTGGTTATAATGATAAGTATCTATACAATGTGCTATTTGAATGACTTTTTACGTTTTGTTGTATATTTTGTCTTCTCTGAAATTTAGTACGTCTTTTAAATTAACTCTTTTTGTTAACTTATGGAATGTCTAATGTAGATACAGACCAATTAAAGGGATCCAATAAATATAAGTATTTTTATTTCTTTACCTTTACAATAACTAGTTCATTCACAGTAGTCAAGGAAACTCATTAACACTGATTGATTTTCATATACATTTATTTTTCTGAGCACAAGAGGTGCAGTCCTTTCAGTTACAAGTTATCCATGACTTATTTAGGTAATTTGGTTCTTCCCAAAGACAAAATGCAAATATTACTTACAAACTTTGAGACAGCTAGAGAGGAGATATCTGGTGAGATGACTTCTGAGGCTGGTACATATCGATACATGGCTCCTGAGGTACATGCTATGCTAGATTTTTCTCTGCATATAAGTATCTACCATCACTATATCTATATATGTTTATGTATCCATTTACTAGAATTTTCTTCGTGTGTTTTGATGTATAATCCTTACATTATCTGCATCAGTTATTCAGCAAGGATCCACTTTCTAAAGGAGCCAAGAAATGCTATGACCATAAAGTAGACGTCCATAGCTTTGCTATGGTTCTATGGGCAATAGTTAAAAACCAGATTCCATTTAAAGGAAGGAGTGACTTGCTGGCAGCATATGCTACTGCAAAAGTAAGTCATACCAGTTACTCTTAGTTCTGATTTTAGTAATAAGAGTGTCATTTTTCTTCCTTAAGTAGTCCTTTCTTTCCATTTTTAATATATTTTGCTTTAGAATAATGTTTGTTTTCATGATCTTGTGTTACCAAATTAGTCCTTCAACAATTAATGTAATTTTTTTGCTCTTTAAATCAAAACTATTATCCTTCTAAGGATTGGTTGTGGTATGTTTATGTTGTTATCGGTGGTTGCAGAAGATGAGGCCTAGTTTGGAGGGTTTTCCAGAAGTTCTACTTCCATTGCTGCAGTCTTGTTGGGCAGAAGACCCAAAGCTACGACCTGAATTCTCAGAGATCTCGCAAATCCTTGAAAACCTTCTCCATAACTATCACTCAACAGGTATATCAGCTGAGGAAAAAGCATGTCCAACTACAAGTGTGCAGGAACTTTTCCCCAATTATGTTGAAGACAACTCAGAACATGAACATGAACATGAGACTCAGAATCTGAATACCAGTGTCTGCTTGGAGGGACAATCTGAGGTCATAACACAAAACTCTAGTCCAGTCTTAGCCCAAACCAAGCACAAAAGGACTCTTAAGAAGTGCAAGGGTTTATGGTTATGCTTTCGAAAATGCTTTCACATTGGTTAAAAAAAAAACTACATTAAGCAAGATCATAGGTGAGTCATTTTTATATATAGTTGCATACATTTGGGGAAAGGCTTCCCAACTTTGCATACTCTACTTGCTGGTATGTGTAATTAAACCAAGTATTCCCTTGTGTGATGTTTAGTTTTGTCAGAATTGTCTCGATCGGCTTTAAAAAGAGGATTTTCACAATTACATATATTAAATTTGAATTGATTAATTTTAGATTATTTTATTTTTAAAACATTTTGTTTAAATATAACAATTCAAATTTATTAATTTTTAATTTTTTTTTGTTTAGATAAAGTGTTTAAATTACTAATAAGTTCAAAATTTTATTTAAATATAAAATATTTACTAAAAATTCAAAAACTATCATTATTATTTTTTATTGATGTAATTTGTCGGTCAAAGGTTATTGATAGTTTTTCATTTCATATTTGTAAAACTTTTTCTTATTTCACTTCNAAACAAATCTACAGATATAATAGTAATGATAGACTTTCAAGGGAAAAAGGAGAGACCAAATATAGGAGTGCTGGGTCTGATGTTTAATAGTGATTTCATAATGTGTAGTTTGGTATATTTATGTCAACACTAAATTTTATAAAGAACTTCTTTTTATTTTCTTAATTATAAAGATTGTTGGATGTAGACTATAGATGCACATTTGAAATTTATTTATGCATATCTTTTGAATACATATCATTAAAGTTGTGTTCAAATATCATTTGTGTATGACTGTTAAAATAAAAATTTCTCAACTTTTGAGATATTACATTAATTATAACCATAGATTTTAAAACCAGCTTTTAACAATATGAAGAAATTAAGAAAGTTGTTGATGATTCTTCCTTAACCTCCTTCCTTCTTTAAAGAAACCATTTCACTCATCATTCACCCTTTTATTTAGAATTCACACATGCTTATCAATTGATATGGCATGGAAGTTAATAGATTAACTTGTAGTGTTGTATAGTTTTGATGTGACTTTGGGTAATAAGTAAAATTTGCCTAGAAGGTACCAAATAAAGGATGTAAGATAGAAAGAAAAAAATGAAAATAAAGAGTTTGATATATAATATAAATAAGTAAAAATATTTTTAAAAAATACAATCCGCAAATCTATTTATTTTATGGCACATGCATAATTATGGAAGATTTAAGAAACAATGGAAAGAATTAGGGAAAGAGAGATCCGGACAATGAAAACGAATGGGAAGATCGAAAAGTTGGAAGAAGAAAGAATATTTTTGTATCTTTGTTGTTTTTCCAATGGTACATTGTAACATCCCAAAATATAGTAATAACCATAAATTAGAGTTAATTACATTAAACAGTCACACAGTGCAGTTTTATATTAATAAACGAAGATCAAAAGTCGAACGGCTTTTAAGTACAGAAGCGTATAGATTTTTACAGAAATAACAAAGCTCTAGGATCGAACGGTTTACAAAATAAATACCGAACGATCGCTACAAAACACTAATATCTAAAAACAGCTGATCGATCTAAGGCTCGGCCTTAACTTCAACGTCCACCAAGTTCTCCTCTTCAATAACGTCTTCTAGCAATGCCTCACCTTCTGCTCACATCCACACGGATGATCATTGCAATGACAGGACGGACGTACAAGGACAATAGACAACACAAGGAAAAACGAAGGGTAAGCTTATGTAATTTAATTCATACATCAACATTTAAATGAAACATTCCAAACAACACACAAGCATATAGTTCAACATATATATAATCATACGAAATTTATCACTAGACGGACCGTCCGGACTGTATGAATCTGTGTAGCTACAGGCGTTCTTGCACCCGAGTGATGTAGTAACTAGGATACACTCAACAGCTGCCACTCGAGGTTAGCCCTATCCAAAGTACCCCTAAGGACTAGGACCTCCTGCCGTTCCCACACATGACCTACCCCCTCTACGTGAGGATGAGTACTCACGGAACATCAGGATGAACTGCCAGCATTAGCATAACCACAGTCATACTTTACCAATTTCAATATTTAATACATGAGTCGTTCCTCCCCGGAACGCTCGTCCATAATCCATAATCGTATAATCATTCCATATAATGTTCACCCTTTAAAATCTTGTACTTTATTATCATTTTCATCTTTAGTTTTAAAGACATAAAATAACGAACGTTCAGCCCTCTTCAAAACGAGGACGAACGTTCAGCCCTCTTCAAAACGAGGACGAACGTTAATAGTGAGATCAATGATTATCCCGTTCAGTACAGAAGAAGAGTAAGAGAATATCATTTGTTTTTAAGAAGTGGACTGAGTAAACTAGAGAAATCTGTGACGAACGGTAATTTCCACGTGAGTCAGTTAAATGAACTAACTCTCTTGAGTTCAAACCAATACTTAAGAAATAAGACGAGTAAGAAGGCATTAGGCCAGATCCAATACAAAGAGAAATCAATGTTTTAAAGACTAAATTTCAATTAGATCACATACAGAAATCCAATGCCAGTAAATGACCGAACATGGAAAAATAAATCTTATTACAGTTGAACGAACGTTATTTTGTCAAGGTTGATTATACAATAATAGGTTTAATCCTTTTCGACATCCCTATTTGTGTAGGAATGTCTCAGATAGGTCCTCGTTTTTTAAAGTGTATCAAAATGGTCCTTAATTTTGAAAATTGAGATCAATTTAGTCCTTTCCGTTAAGTTGGTTGGACGGCGTTAAAAAAATTGATGAGTGGGATGCTGAGATGACGAAATGTTACTGACGTGGCATTGAGTCCTCCCTGTAAGCTATGTCCATCGACACGTCCCTCTCGTCCACCCAAACCCTAAACCCCTCCAGGATCATGCGCACCGCGTTGAAGTCCTCGAATGTTCGCCGAACCCCGCGCAGGCTCGTTAAATACACCACGATTCGCTCCTCCGTCCCGGACAACCGAAACGGCGTCGTCGTCGTGCACGAGTCCCAACTCTCTTTTGATTCCGATTGGGACTCCGATTCTGGAGCCTTCTTCGAGGAGGACTCGAACAAGGTACAAAGCTTCCTCACCGTTTTCCCGCGGATTGAGGTTTTCGCCGACTCAGCGGATCCGTAGAACCGATTCAACGAACCGGACCGGTCCAGACTCTGCTGGCTCTGAGGAACGTAAGGTTTCTGCGAGTGCTTAGAATGAATCGTGTTCGACCGGTTGAAGAACGGAAACCGCGACATCTTCGACAAATTCGACACTCTCCGAGCTCCTGAACGCAAATAATCGAAAGAATTTAGCGTTTAGTTTTTCGGAATTGACTTTGAAATGCTATAATGTTCATCATCTGTTCGAAAATTGGATTCAATTTCAAATCATTTGCCATTTCCTGAGCGCAATTTCCAAAATTACGTTTTTCCGCAGCTGTATTTCACCGCGGCTTTCATTTTAACACCATTAGAACATTTACAGGTTTCTTTTTGAGGATTTCCATGTCAAATCAGAAAGTTCACAACCGAGCTCGAATTACAAGGATAGAGTTTAAAAGAAAACGAAAGAAAGAAAAAAAAAAGAACGCGATGTAAATTGAGTTTTACTGTGTTTCAGTCCGGCAACGGTGCGAAGCTCCGACGCGGCGGGCAATGAATGAACGAAGACAAAGTCCAGAAGGTGTGAGTTCCTGTTACTTTGGTAAGGGATTGATGTTTTTTTTTTTGAATATTTGTTGTTTGAAGTTTTGTGTTTGTTTTGAGTTTTGGGGTTTTATGTGTCTGTGTGTGTGGTGTTTCAGTTTGTAGTTGAAACAAGAATTGGGTTTTGTCTGTTTTAGTTTTGGAGAATGCTTGAGAGATGAAGAGAAAAAGGTGAGGTAAGGGTTGAATGAGTTAATTATCCACAACAGCCAGAATTTATAGATAGAACCTTTCAAATGCCACGTCAGTAACATTTCGTCATCTCAGCATCCCACTCATCAATTTTTTTTAACGCCGTCCAGCCAACTTAACGGGAAGGACTCATTGATCTCAATTTCAAATTAAGGACCATTTTGATACACTTTAGAAAACGAGGACCTATCTGAGACATTCCTACACAAATAGGGATGTCGAAAAGGATTAAACCACAATAATACGAGCGCTTGGTATAAGACCGGGCACTACTTAGGACGAACGCTAGGTGTAAGACCGAGCGCTTCCTATTTACGAACGCTAGGTATAAGACCGAGTGCTACTTATTACGAACGCTCAATATAAGACCGAGTGTTACAAATTTTAAAGTACAAGGGTATAAATATTATTACTTTATTTTAGATATCCGAATACCACCAGGCTGAGCCGAACGCTCAAACCTAGTATTTCATAGGTTGACGCTCGTTCTCGACCAGAGTTCCTTCCAAATGAAAGAATTCCATTTTAAACAATTTACTAGAAAACCGAACGGTAGAGGACCGTTCGATGACGAACGTACATTATCATAGTAAGAATGTCATATTCAGATTTTTCATCTATGTTTCAACTCAAGTTTTCAACATATCAGTTCATACCTTATAACTTCATATCAAATATCAATTTACATACTTTATAGAATTCACATTAATAATTCATACTTCAAAATGATTACTCATATTCACATTCATACATATCAACCATCATCATACATATCAACCAGCATGCATCATATTCATTCAATCAACTAAACGAACGTTCAAACATTTCCATAGCATACAAATTAAATTAAATAAGCTTCCCTTACCTGGATTCGTGAGCAAATTGTCCTAAACACAAGATTTGTGGCTCGTCCAACTAACGTTTTCTACCCTCAACGGTCACTTAACTCTTCCAATCAAATCTAACCACAAGAAAATCGAAGTACTTAGACTACACCCTTGCATGCAGCCAAAACTTGGTTTTGCATGAAACCTAAGAACGAACAACTAAGGGAAGAAACTTACCAGCTTCCGATTCTGAAACTATTCGGTCCAAATTGAAGCTCATGACTCAGGGAACGCTCCTACGGTTTCTGAATGTTGATCAGAGAAGAGAGTAGTGAGTTACAGTAGAGAGAAGATGGAAGTTTTCTAGAGAGAAGGATGAGAAAATGAAAAGTCAGTTTTCAGGAGGAAGAAGGGTGCATGCAGAGAGTGGGAAGAAGGTTTTCAGAAAAATCATTTTTCTTCCCAAGGTAAAACGGACGTACTCTCTCATACGGACACCTGTCTTCCACTACTGATTTTAGAATGTTCCATTCTTGACACCTGGCGTCAGTGTGCAGAGTTTGGGAGTGCGTTTTAAATGGTCTGAGCAGGATTTTTGGGTGCAATTAATGAGATTTGACAGGTGGATTATGGTGCTCATTTTCAAGGC